AAAATACGTTTTGATGAACAAGTTTCAAAAACTCATGAATACAATATAGGAGACAAAGTTTATGTAAAAGAGTCCCAAATCAAAGGTAAATTAGAAAATAAATTCAATGGACCTTTTGAAGTAAAAGAAGTTTTCCAAAATTCTGCAAAACTTTATAATCCAACAACAAATCAGTATACAAAAGTAAATTTTGACAGAATGAAACCATTCTATGAAAGTTAATTTATTTTCAGGTTCGCGCTGATGCTGACTTCAGTCATCGCCCAGTATAAAATAATTCCTATAAATAACACCGTTGGAATCTATTATCATGAAGAAACGTACATCAGTATATCACACTCGAAATGGACATTACTAGTGAACAAAGACATCGCTGTATTACGCGAAGCTTTCGACAATAATAATAAAATATTAGATTCCATTACAACCATGCTCAATCAAGATAATCATGGCACAAAATCATTTTATTCAGAAGTAAAAACACACGTAAGCCTTTTGCTTCAGACAGCAAATTTGATGAAGGAAAAATTCTCAGAAGTACTATTAGATACCAAAAGATATAAAAGAGGAATTTTAAATGGCATAGGATCAATATTTAAAGCAATCACAGGAAATCTAGACTCCAGTGACGGAGAATATTATTCTGACTGTATAAATAAATTAAATAATGACGAACATCAATTAGAAAACTTATTGAAAAATCAAATTTCAGTTACAAGCTCTGTTATCAAGAATTTCAACACTACAATACAAAAAATTCAAATTGATGAGAAGACTTTCAACGACGATATACAAGCAATCCGAAATTCACTCATGGAAGTCTATGACGAAATCGATTTATTGAAATCCAAAATGAAACTTTACGAAATATGCGAAAAACTCATGGAAAGCTATATTTTTATTGAGGAAAACCTTGACGATATTTTAGATTCAATAACTTTTGCAAGGCTCAATATTATTCATGCTTCAATTATAACACCAAAACACTTGGTTACATCCCTTCAACAAATATCTCAAAGATTACACAAAAACGTTTTGCCATTGCCACCTCAACTTTCGAGTATTTCTCAATATTTGGAAATTATTGAACTCCAGGCATTCCAAATTGATAATAATATCGTATTTGTATTAAAAATACCTCTAATTGAACCCCAGACCTATACTCTTTTCCGATCTTACCCAATACCTATATATGATAACAGAACAGGGCTTCATCACATTCTTTCAATAAGTCATAAATATATCGCGAAAGATGATGATTCTTTAATGTACCTTACCATCGAGGAACCTTCAACATGCAAGCAAATGACGATTTCCTTGAAACTATGTGAAAATATATTTACCTTACCATCGAGGAACCTTCAACATGCAAGCAAATGACGATTTCCTTGAAACTATGTGAAAATATATTTCCATACCCAATTGATACTACTTCAGCATGCGAAATCAGACTACTGAAGAATTCCCAGAGAATCCCGGAAAATTGCCAGAGCACCTCAATATATGGACAAGGATACAATATCCAGAATTTAGAAGAAAACTCATGGTTAGTAACTGTCGCAGAATCATTGCATGTAACAATCACCTGTCCTGACAGAAACCCGAAAACAGAAATAATGTACAAGAACTCCATTTTGAAAATGCAATTAAGTTGTAGCGCATTTGTAGGAGTTACAAAAATTCAAGCTTCCTCAAGAGAAACTTTGAATGTCTCGTACAATACACACCCTGTATTGTTACCCTATGATTGTTGTTCAGACGTTCCGAATCAATTCCACCCTCCAGAGCTGAAACCCTTGAAAATCAGTAACATTAATGCCGATGATTTAGAAATAGCCAAACACAAGTTGGACCAATATTCAAGAGACCTTGATGACCTGATCAACGAGCCCTTCGTCTCCAAACACATTTCATGGTTCACCTACGTCACAATCACCCTCGTAGTTGGACTCATCCTTCTCTACTTGTTCTGCAAGTGTCGTCAAAGAAGAAGACACCTGACAGCCATCTTACCAGGTGACTACCCACCGTATCCACCTCAAGGACCAACGAAGCCTCTTCGAAGATTCACCAGGTACCTACCCAATGTTCTGAAGAAGCGACCCAGTATCCACGAAGAAGAAGAAGAAGTAGAACTTCAAGGAATCTAAAAGTTGTAGCCAAAGCAAGCAACTTTTTCAAATGATGGGGAGTTGTTATATGAAGACTCCACAGGACCCCATTGTTCTCCAGAGGTCACCTCTATCCAGTGTTTACCAGGCACCACAAAGACCTCCTTGTGGCGCAGAAGACGAGGCCTTCAATTCAGCAGCTTCTAGAACTTCGCCACACTATTTCATTGTTTTACCTCAAGTATAAAAGCTAGAATTGTAAACAAGCTAGTTAGTCGTACTGTAGTCATAATCGTACACTCATTTAATATCTTATATCTTTGGTGATGAAATCACCCTGTATAATAAAGTGTTTTTTTAAAAAGTCTATTTTGAGAGAAGTGATATAACATCCATGTTTTGTCGAGTGTGTTGTTAATCATAAACTTGGTACAAGTAAAATAGTTATTTATGTATTAAGGGAATTATGAGGGCCTTAATTACCGATGGCAAAGTTTGCGTCCCGAGGGCCTCTGGCCCGAGGGACAGCAATTGCCTGAGGTTATTGAGGCTCAGTAATTCCCGTGATACATAGATAATTTTATTTCTGACTGATTTCATTCATTAGATACCTTCCCGATTGGAAGTTAGACATGTTTTTCCGTATAGTTTCAATGTCATCAGAACGTCAGATGATGATCTTGACTACCGCGAATAGGAGATTCCTTATTGCTACGTTACTGCGTGGTTGTTGCTATCTCGGTTGCTATGCATTTCTTATTTAATTTTAGTTAGAGGGAATTATAGCATCTATAACATCCCAAGGGAGTTATGACCCTCATAATAGATATCGTAACTATGACGATATAAGCTTATAATGTCACTGTCAGAAATAAAATATATATGTATCAGTTTCTAATCTGAATTGTACTTCAAATTATTCAATCAACTATTTCGATTAATTGAAAAATTGGAAATTCACAAATTAATATACAGGGTGTTTCATTAATATTTTATGAATCTTCAAGATCAGATTTCGTGGGTCAAAAAAAGAAAAAAGTTCCTATAAATACAAGTATGTCCAAAATTGATTCGTTTCCGAGATAGGTACATGATGATTGAACTCATTGTATCTCAGAAACAAATCGTGTTCGGGCATATATTATGTTAATATGATTTTTTTTCATATTTCGACCTAAAAATCGGACCTTAAAGTGTAGTATAACATTAATGAAAGACCTTTGTTACGTAAGGGGGTTGAATCCCTTACCCGTAAAGTCTCAGGAGAGAAAAAAATGGACTGGAGGCAAATTGAGCGTGGTCTTCAAGATCTTCCGTGGAATTATGGTGTGATGACGGGCCGGCCGGCACTCTGGACTGGGCGTATGGGATGAATGGTTTCCCTCAGGAACTATCTGGTACCACTCGCGTCACGAAAGATAAGTAATCCTTAATTGGACACTTAATGTTCCATTAACGTCTGGTGGACGGATATTTTGTTATTGTTGAGAAAATGTTACTTAAAGACCTGATGCGCGCATTCAATTTTGAGATATACAGTGAGCCAAACACGGATAGCAGATAATGCATAGAAATTCATTATTATTTCAAGTTTACATAAAAGGACATAACAAAGGAGATGGACGGAACAACCTTGTATAATACAATGTACTTTTCACATCTCGAACACATGGGAAAAAAGACTGAATACATTATAGTTTCATTGTAGTAACTCCAGAGGGAAGTATTTCTGCTGTAAGAAAGCAGTTTCCAGTGATGTTACATGAATTATTACCGTTTCATTATAGTTACCGTAATGGAGAGTACTTTTGCTGTCGTTTCCGTTAACATATCAGATTGGAATCATATTTAACGTTACTGAGATTATGTTATGTTGGTGGACATATTACGACTCTAAAACGGTCTTTGAGACATGAATGGGACAAGAATCATAACGTAACAATGTACCTTGGTTACAATTTAATGACGTTAATAGTACGAGTTTTTGCACAGTGGGACTACCTACTTAGAAACCGACTATGGCGGTAATTCAATATATGAAGAAGATGTTTTGATGTTCAAACTAGTTTATTGCATTTTCTCTTTCAAGGGAAATGGAATCCAAATGCAGAAGTTCATTTTGACAAAAGAGGCTTCAGAAAAGTACATAAAAAATGGTTTATATACAGCGATTTGATGTGCACAAGGCGCTTTGAAAATGTTCTGTTGTGTCCATGAAAAGGCTATGAGAAAAACTAGGGAGAAGGTATTTTTTCTGCAATCGGCTCAAAAGTCGTCCATTTTTGTTCCAAAATTAGCTCTTGAAGTAGGCGTAACTGACACTATAAAATGATTAGTATGTATGTTACTAGGCAACACGTTTGGTGTCTGGGAACGAAAGTTGAAGTTTTAACTCTTAGGAACTAAAAACATGTCGAATGACAGCTGATATGATAGCTGCTTTGACAATGACATGCTCAATAAGGGACTCAAAATATTGGAAACGTCACTTTTATTTTATTAATTAAATGTTATTTCATTCGGATCGAAAGTGACTTTGTTTGACTCGCAAAATTTGCGTGCTCGGCTTCGCGGTCGCCCCGGCTCGCAAACGCAAATATCGCTTGTCAAACAAAGTGTCACATTTGATCCTAATAAAACAATGTACTGTTTGTGACATCCCAAGGACATCTTTATGAACGCCGCCTGCGGTGGACATTGGCTGTTCTATAAAAGTTCTATTCATGTGTGAACAGAACATCGCAGTGAAGGATCAATGTCTCGAAATCTCGTACTTTTGACATCTCTGAGATGTTTTTGTGCTCGCTGGGGCCTCCTTGGGGTGTCCCACGTGTCACAATTTCCAGGAAGTATAGAGTGAAAATTTGCGAATTATGGGATTATACTAACCTCACTGTTGTTACAGAGCATGGTCATGTTCCCCATGATGTAAAATCCATTTCTGGCTCTGGACAGGGCAACGCACACTCTATTTTCTGACTTCAAAAATCCAATTTTATTATCTTGGTTGTTTCTGACCAAGGATAATAAGATGATGTCGCTCTCTTCCCCTTGGTAATTATCCAAAACGGCAATTCTGACGTCTTGGAGTTGCATCCTAAACTTCAACTTCTCTCTTTGCATCTCAAACATTTGTCCAAGATAAGCAGCCAAAATCGTGATATTTTGCGGTTTATAACTGAAAATCAATATCAAGTTCAGTATGTTACAAATCTTAAATACTGAATTATGGTGTATTTTCAATTGATATAGAGAGGAATCCTCCATCAGTGGTAATAAGCATAATTTCATTATATAAGTTATAATAAACAGGGACTATAAGGCTTTGTAGAAAAAAACAGATAGCTGACGATCCAGTGAACTCAGACACCGTCATCAAATCATTATTGAATTATTATCCAATAATCGATTTTCATTTATGAAGGCGAGAAAATCCCAAAAATCAAGAGAAATTAATGTTCATAAATTCAACAATTCGTGAATATTTGAAGTCAATAAATTTCAAATAAATCATGGGAAACTGTATCCAATGCATGTTGAAAAAAAGTGCTACATACTAACTGGGGTAGGTATATAAAAACGTTCATCAATTTACCCGTTGAGGATTAAATGTCTGGCAAACTGTATCAAAAACTGCGCCTCATGGATATTCTTCTTACTGTTGTCCCTGCAAAGTTGCTCTTGTTCCTTATGGTCGATGAAATAGAGACAGTTGTCGAGGCCAGCGATACGCGGTCTATCAATCGTAGATTCATGGTCTTTCAGCACAGGATAGATAGCCGGTCTGACTAGGCTCGATATCTCCGGCCTCATTCTGTGCTGGACGTCCAAAGTGTGGCATTGAATGTTGTTGATAACCATTCTCTCGAACAGGCTGATGCCCAATCGGTATTTCGTCTCGATTTTGAAGTCTGCGGCTGATGGTTTCAGCTGCTGATGGTCCCCTGTTATTCAATCATTCATCACATTCATGTAACTGCCAGCTAACTTATCTGATTTTCAATTTCTATGCTTCAACTTTTATGACATGCATTTTGTATACAATCACCGTGAAGTGATTGAAATAGTATATTGTTTAACGAGCACGGAATGATAGTGATTTCCTACGAGAATGAAGTTTGCAGCATGAGCCATAGGCGAAAGCTGCAATCATTCGAGTAGGAAATTTGTTATAAAATGTACTCGACTTTTTCAACATCTGGTATTTTCAGATCATGTAATTAAATTGATGTCAATCATTACACAATAAAGTTATCAAGTATATTTTTACTAATTCCTTTGGATTATGGGCCCAGATCAACGTTGGTGAAGAAAAGTACTTTGGTGAAGTGAAAGATTGTGTTTTGGCTTCAATTATCACTATTAGTGTTGGATCTCGGCGATATACGTATCAGAATGGAACGAGAGTTGTAATCGATAAGCTGGATGGTCTATCAAATTGGGTGGACTGGAAATTTCAGAGCTCGTCAATATGTGTAAAAAAGTGAAAGAAATGTGGGAGAAATTGCACAGTGTATTCGAGCAACGAACTGAACAAAGGCAAGATAGTTTGTTTAACGAGTTTTTTGGAGTTCGTGGAAAAGCATCTCTTGATAGCATTGCCAAACACATCGCTAAATTGGAAAAGCTGTGGATAGATCTCCAGGATGAGACATGGCGTGAAGATAAAGTGAAACTTCCAGAATCTCTATTTCTCAAGAGAATTCTTAATACCCTGCCTCAAGAATATTTCGAATTCACAAATGCCTGGGAGTCAGTACAGAAAGAACAGTTCGATTGTTACGTGAAAGACTATGCACTGTAGAGCTGCGGATGCAAGAACGAAAAGGCGAAGTCGAAAATTCATTATTGAAGACTGCTCTTATCGTTGCTAAGTCCAGAACAAGGGATGGAGCTAATAATGAAAATAAGAAAAAAAAAACGCCTAGGGGTCCTAAATATATATATAAGAACTTCATTCAGTATACATATGTATAAAAAATGGTAATAGAATAACAAAGAATAGGGTTGAACAAAGTAGTAATCGATAAGTGATCATTCACTTGTTTCGATATTAACAAACAAACAAGTATATATATATATAAAATAATATCAGATAAAATAAGACTAGGATCTAAGGTAACACATTAAAAATAAAATGGTAAAAGGTTATGTAATAAGGTAGATAATTAAAAAAAGTTTAGAGTAAAAAGTTACGATTGCGAGTAGATTGGTGTATTTGTGAGTACATATACATATACACAAATGGAATAAATTTATGAAATAAGATGGAAAATTGAATTTTTCAATTACATGTGGGAATAGGTGTACGGTGAGTTGAGAATAACAAAAATATCATGGATAATAACCCAAGGTATACATATATACACACACATACATGCATATATACACATGTACACACATATATGGAATCTAGCACGGAAAATATTAGAACTTAGGCTAACCAACAAATATGGAGGTCATTGAATGAATTTTATAACAGTAAAATATTAATGTGGTGTAGGTATGGATCTATTTTATTTTGCTACTATGATTTCATTTCTATAAGATCGGATATTATTTTTCTATCGCTTTCCAGAATATATTTTTTTAGTTCTCTTTTAAATTTGAACTTGCTTTTTTCACTTTTGATTTTATCAGGAACACTATTATGTATTTTTTTTGTAATATATGCATATGATCTTTGGGATAACGACTTTTTTACTTGTGGTAGTGTTGATAAGTTTTTTTTGCGTGTGTTATAATCATGTGTGGGTCGTTCAACAACTCCGGTTGAGTGCAGTTTCACATTCACACAATAATAAAATAGTTGCCTCATATCCATGACTTCGCATTGTTTATATAACAAGTTGGAGGAATATCTTGTGTTTTCCTTCATGATTAATTTGAGGAACCTTTTTTGTAGCACTTCGAGTGGGTTTATGTGTGTCCGAAGGGCACTGCCCCACAATAGAATTCCATATCGAAGATGACTTTCCACTAATGTATTATATAATATTTTCATTGACTTTAATGACAGAAAATTATTGAGGAATTTGAATTTATATAAAATTGTCCGAAGTTTTTTTGTGATGTAGTTAATATGTATGTCCCACTTCATATATGAGTCTAGATAAACTCCAAGATATTTTATATTTTTTACGGCATTAATTTGAAAAGTGCCTCCCTGGACTTTCATGTCGAGTTGTTGAAACGGGGGATTTCCCGCTTTGTTGCAACTAAAGGGTAGAAAGTTGGTTTTCTCTATGTTGATCGTTAATAGTTTGCTGTCGAACCAGTTTTTTAGAATCTTGAAATCATTTTCAACCTTATGTTTCAACTCAAGCCATGTTTCCGCTTCGTAGAAAATGGCGGTGTCATCAGCATACCCTAAAGCGGTTCCTTGGGAATCGAGGAAAAATAATTCATTGACATACAAATAGAATAAGAGAGGGCCTAATCCAGTTCCCTGAGGTACGCCATATTCTATTCCTCTCAGATCACTCATTGTGTCAGACACTTTTACCTCTTGGCTCCTGTTTTGTAGATAATTTGTGAGCAGATTTGCACATTTGCCTCTCAGACCTACTCGCTCTAAGGTTTCAATAAGTAGTCGGTGGCTGACAGTATCAAAAGCCTTCGAAAGGTCAATGAATACACATAGACATGGACGTCCTTTTTCCAGTGATGTGTGAATTTTTTCAGATAGTGCAAGAACAGCATCTTCTGTTGACGTTTTTTCCTTGAAGCCATAATGGTTGCTGGAAATAATTCCATATTTTGTTATGAATGATGTCAATCTGTTTTTCAAGAACCTTTCGAAGATCTTCGACATATGAGTGATGAGAGAAATTGGTCTGTAGTTGGTTACCACTGTTTTGTCCCCCCTCTTAAAAATTGGTATGACAATTGAATGTTTGAATATATCAGGCCAGATTTCTGAGTCTATACATTTATTCAATAAGTGTTGAAGAGGAAGAAGTATGTATTCGGAGACAGCTTTGATAGTTTCAGCTTTTATGTTGTCTTTTCCAACAGTTTTTCCATCCTTCAGGCCCATTATTATATTCAGCAGTTCATTCGTCTCAATTGGAGTTAGAATCATTGAGTTCAAAAGAATGTTTCCAGATACTCTTTGGTTTGGATCTCTCACAATTTTTTCTGCCAGTGTTTTTCCCATTTCAACAAATCTGAGGTTGAATTCATCCGCGATGTCTTTGCTTCCATGAAGAATATCTCCATTTTGGTTACGGACTGCCGAGATTACATTTTTGTTGGGTTTTGTATTACTCAATTCTCTCACTTTTTCCCATAGAAATTTTGTATCGTTGAGATTTTTTTCTATTTGTTTTTTATAGTAATCACACCTCACTTTTTTTATCAGATTAGTAAGTTTATTTTTGTAAATTTTATACTGGTTTATCAATAAATCGTTATTTGGGTCTTTTTTGAGATTCTTGAACATATCATTTTTTTTGTTAATCGAAGTTAATAATGCATTTGTTAGCCAAATGTGGGAAGTTAGGACATATCAAGAAAATCTGTCCTGAGAACACAAGTAGCAACAATGAAAATTCATCACAAGGTTCAGCATTTCTTGGCATCTCATTTTTGTTGACCCAGGTCGAAGAGGGGGATATATGGATTGCAGATTCTGGAGCAACCCAACATATGCAACATTCGAATGTTTGTATTGGTAGGGAACAAGCAACAAATGGAAGCACTTGGCAAAGGAGAAATCAATGTGGGTATGTTTGTTGATGGAAAATGGGTCAGGAATTATCTAAAGGAAGTATGGCTTCTACCAGAAGTTAGTAGAAATTTATTCTCCCTCACTTTTATAGTGGATGAGGAAATGACTTCTCATTTAGATAAAGATCCATGTACGATCATGAAAAACGGCAAAACTTTAGCTACAGCCAGAAGAAAAAATGGACTTTATCTGATTTTCATGAGAGTTATTAGCTATCAGCCAGTAATAACTGAAGCCCATATTGTGGAAAAAACGTCACTGCAGATATGGCATGAACGTTTAGGGCACCAGAACAAAAAATATGTTCAGAAGTTTCTACGAACTCATGGAATCGATGTTGGCAGTGATGACAATGTTTTTTGTGGAGCTTGCATGTATGGAAAGCAACATCGTCTGAGCTTTGGTCATCGACCTATTAGAGCAGAGAAACCTGGAGACTTGATTCACGCAGATGTTTGTGGACCGATGCCGGAAAAATCACTTGGAGGCGCTCGATATTCCTTGATTTTCAAGGACAATTTTTCGAAGTACCGTACTGTATATTTTCGTTATGAAAAGTCAGAAGTTGCGAAAATGTTAGAACAATTACTTAGCGAAGCAAAAGTGTTAGGGCACACTGTGAAAAAACTTCTAACAGACAATGGAGAAGAATTCGGCAACAAAGAAGTGAAGAAAATCAGTGGGAAATTCGGACTACATCATCGGATGACAATGCCGTACACTCCTCAACAAAACGGCGCTGCTGAAAGGGAAAATAGAACGTTGGTCGAATCTGCCAGAACAATGATGCACAACAGAAATGTTCCTGAATATATGTAGGCAGAAGCGGTGAATATGGCTAGCTACATATCGAATCACACAGGTCCCTCTTCTGTGGAAACAAAGGCACCTTTTGAGCTATGGATTGGAGACCACCTGTGCTGGACAATTTGAAAGTTTTTGGCACAGAATGTTTTGTTCATATTCCAAACAAAAAATAAAAAAATTGGACAAGAAAAGTATCAAAGGTTGTCTAGTTGTTTACTGTAGTGAAAAATCTGGGTTCAGAATATGGGTTGCGGAATTAAACGATGTTATTTTGAGCAGAGATGTTGTATTCAAGGAGGAAAAGATAGTCAAAGACATTCAGATCGTTTCAGAAAAATTTAGTGAAATCAGTAATCCAGAAATTTTGCAGCCAAATGATGACTGTCGTAATAGAGTAGTTTAACC